TCTCTGTATTTCCCAAAAACATGAAAGCATCGATAACACTCTTTCGCAGCTATTCAAACTATTTTGATACCCCTTTTTAAAAAATATATTGTGGTTTGACATCTTCAAACATTTGAATTTATTCGAAAACTCAACTGTTATCCAATCGTCATAAACACTAACATCTAAATCTGCCTGGCATGAGTAATCAAAACTCTTCATCTCCAGGAATGAGGGATTTGAAAAAATCATTTACCATTTCTACAACCTCAAGCATGGGTGCCGGTAGTGCCCTATCCTCGAAATGAGAATAACTTTTTAGATAAAAATTATTAGTAATCCTATGATTCTGAATGAAAAATTGTAAATACAATTTGCAAATTTTATTTATTTTTTATTTTACGTTTGAATAAGTAATCATTCAAGCCCGTGAATTTTTGTTTTATAAAATCTTAATTTAGAGATTTAAATAAACAGGAGTATTTTATATTTTCACGTCAATGTTTAAACCAATAAAAGAAAAGCTAACTTCATTTAATAAGCATATCATAAACAAATATAAAATTTATTTGGAGACAAAGAGAATATCTTTTTTAACGAAAGAAATCTTATTTATTCATTGAAAGTTTTATTATAAATGAAATGGAAAAGAATATAAAATTAAAAAGAATACCTATATTCCATATTTAAATTTATTCGATAATGTTGAAATCATAAGGAATGTTTGTGTAAACATAGTATGGTATGGTGACACATATTTTGATTAACTATATTCTATATTTTAATTTAAGTATCATTTGCTAATAGGTAATTAAAAATAATATATTTTTAAAATTAATATATTTAAACTATTAAATTATGTGTAGTATTTTTTCTAGTTGAAGATTAGTATAGACCAATCATATTGTATTTTTTAATTTTATATCATTATTTAAACAAATAGATTCAAAATTAATTTTTTAAGCATATCCTAAACAAATACTCGTATAATTTTTTTAAGGGTGAAAAGAGTTACGTGTTTATTAATTGAAAGCTTTGTTATACATAAAGAGAGAAAATATATTGAATTAGAAAAGAATACTATTATAAAACAAAAATCTAAATTTCATATTTAAATCTATTCAAAATATGTCATCCTAAAATATTTATTTCATATTTTCTTGTCTGAAAATTAAGTGAAACAAATCACATAATAAATACACATATCAATTTTCTATTTAAGTCTCATTTTTATATATAAAAGATTTATTAAAATTTAAATAATTTTATTTTGAATAAAATTTAAAATTTTAATTTAATATCATGTCAAGTATTATTTGTAGTATATTTAATTGATAATCACACGTTGAATTGTTTTTTGAGTAAATGTTAAATATTTATTTATGTATATTATATATTTACCTAACTTGTAATCGATTGCCTTTCATAAATTTCTAACAAATTATTTATTTGGTTTTTTTGATTGTCTTACATAAATAAATGATAATTTGTCAAAAAATATTGCCACATATATATTGCCACATGTCAATTTCTTAAAGAGTCACTTGTCATTTTTTAACGAGCCACATGTCAAATTCTTAGAGTAAGGAGTCTCAAATTTATATATAAAGGAAGGGGATTTTCTTGTCTGAAATTAGGTGAAATAAATCACATAATAATCAAATTTCTAAAGTTATGAGTCTCATGTTTATGCATAAAACATTTATCAGAGTTTTAATAATATGAATTTGAAAACAAATTAAAATTTTAATTTAATCTCATGTTAAGTATTATTTGTAGTATATTGAATTGTCAATCCCACGTTGAATTCTTTCTGAGTGAATGTTAAATATTTATTTAAGTATATTAAAGGTTTACTTAACTTGTAATTCATTGCCTTTCATAAATTTCTAACAAATCATTTTTTTGGTTCTTTCGATTGCCTTACATAAATAAATGAGAATTTGTCAAAAAATAATGCCACATATATATCGCCACGTGTCAATTTTTTAAAGAGTTACTTGTCATTTTTTAAAGAGCCACATGTCAATTTCTTTAGTAAGGAGTCTAAAATATATATATAAAGGATAAATACTCATATCAACTTTCTACATGAGTCTCATTTTTATATATAAAAGATATATTAAAAATTTAACAATTTTATTTTTAAGTATGTTATAAATTTACTCAACTTGTAATTGATTACCTTTCATAAATTTCTAACAAATTAGTTTTTTATTGTCTTACATAAATAAATGATAATTTTTCAAAAAAAAGTGCCACGTAGATATTGCCAAATGTCAATTTTTTAAATGTGATGGAAGATGACATGTAAAAAATGTTAGAATAAGTGCCTTTCACTAGAGGGGGGTGAATAGTGAGGCACGAGAATGTTTATAAATTTTCGCGAAATAAAAATCGTAGGGATAAAGTAAAAAGCGGAATAAAAAGGAGTAAAGGGAGCACACCAAGATTTATACTGGTTCACCACAACGTGTGGCTAGTCCAGTCTCCCGAGAGACTCTCTCGAGTTACACTACTTCCGTTAAGCTTACGGGTGCTTAACAAACCATTACAACCTGAGAACTCGAGTCCCACGAGCCTCAATGCACTTTCTCGGAGATACCGCACTCCAAGACTTCAACCCGAAGGAAAATACCTTTCCTTCGTACAACCAAGGGAAACAAGCTTCCCTAAACGTGTTTACAACACTAAGAACACTCGAGAACAAGACTCTCTTTAAGAGTAGATGTTGAGTAAACTATATACGCTCAAGAACAACTCAAACTTCACAAATTGGCTCTAGAATGCTATGGAAAATAATGTTGTTTGGATGCAATGATAATATGAATAAAGTGAAGTGAATTGATGAGAAAAAGCAGACCCAAACACCCCTTTTTATAGTGTCAAAGTAGGCTCCAACGGACCAATACATTAAAGGGATGATTGGCTTGATTAAAATGTAGATCTGCAGGATATTGGCTTTCCCATCGATGTATGGACCTACCCATCGCTGGTAAGCCAATTTTCCTTCAGTTTTGAAGACAACGGTCACCTCTCATCGATGGGTACAAGCTTCCCATCGCTGGGTGGGGGGTTGACTTCCAAACAAGGAAAGAATCAACCCTAAATGACTTCCAACGGTCATGCCCTCCCAGCCATGGGTATGCCGTCCCATCGCTAGGTTCCCATCGATGGGTAAAGGTTCCCATCGCTGGGTAAGGGCATTCTGCCTTGTGATAATGTTGGACCAAGGCTTGAACAGCGATGGCTAGAACTTACCATCGCTGTTTGGCATGGTTCTAGAAATCAGTTGGGCTGAAGGCTGCTTTACCCATCGCTGGATAATATCTCCCATCGCTGGGTAGAATGATTCTAGAATCCCGGGATCACTTACCCATGGGTGGGTGATATCTACCATCGCTGGGTAGATTGCTAGCCCAGAACCATGGCTTAGCTGACCGACGCTAAAACCCGACCAAAAAATGCAAAGTTCTCCAAAGTAAAAACTAAGTATTTAAAACACTTATTTAATGTACTGTGATGTCAAAACAAGCTTTGTAAGTTGAAAACCACGTCGATAAGGTAAAAACCACGGTTGACCAAGTCAACGCCGTACACGGGTGGTTTTTACCAAAAGACAAACCGAAAGGTGGTTTTCATGATGTTTTGATTGGAGAACCATTTAAATGCATTCAAAAACAATTCCCACACAAAAAGACTTGAAAACCACTTCATTTAAGTAAAAACCACGGCAAGCCAAGTTTATGTCGTTTCGCATGGTTTTTATCAAACGACAAAAAACGAAAGGTGGTTTTTGAAGTGTTTTTGATGGAAAACTATTTAAATGTGCCCAGAAGTAAAAACCAATCATAAAAAGTTGAAAACCACTTGGTTGGTTCGGACGCCAAAAACCAACGCCGATAACCGAATGCAAAACGCCGGTTTCCGAAAACCGAACCCCGGATGGCTTGGTGTTTGGTTTGGGCGAACACCAAGTGTTTTTAATATGTTTGAGCATGTTTGAAAATAATTTAGATGATATGTAAAATGCAATAAGGCTCGCCTTGTATATTCAACAACTTGTCTCGTTCACGCGGTTTGGCATTATCAAAACCTGTCATAAAAACGAATACGGCTTTAGTACGAAAAAGCGATAAACCCGTGTTTCAACAAAAAATAGCCTAGTAGACATTCCACATGTCAAATTTCTAGGAGGTTAACTCTCCTTTTTTATATATAAAGATATAGGATTCCTTTGATTGTATTTATTTAAATATTGACACCTATTAAATAAAATACTTCCTTTACTTATAAATTAATTTTATATTTTTATGACACTTAATGTGTCACTTAATTTAAGATATAGAAAATGCGAATTCAATATTTTGGTATACAATCATTGAATAAATTTAATTCTTAAAGAGAAACATTCATTTTTATGAAAATACTCTTTCCAATACAATACAATATTTTTTACTTGCTTCATATATAAAAAAATTTGATTAATAAATAAGATGATTTTTTTCACATTTAAATAATTTTCATACAAGTATTAGTTTATAATATTTAAAATGAAATTAGTTTTGATTCTATTGATTCTAATAATAATGTAAAACTAAAAACAAATAATACATTTCAATAACTAGATTAAAAATATTAAAAATCAATACATGACTAGACTAAAATTGAACTTTTTTTTAAATCATAAACAAAACATTCTCTTCATAAATAAATAATATACAATGTATTATGAATTTGTTTATGATACCTTTAAATGAAGTTAGTTCGATTATGTTTATTTAAATATTGCAACTACTAAATAAATACTTTCTTCGCCTATTATGAAATTTCTTATTTTTTAACACATAATATACCACCTAATTTGAAACATAGAAAATGTAAAATCAACATTTTGGTAAAATGTGATCATTCTTACACTTTTCATGCCCCAGCAAGTACATATCTTTTAAAAAACGATCTGATTCTTTTATGATATTATTACACCAATGTCTATAAAATGAGCATGGACCGTAGGATTGCGGAAAACTTTGCCTTAAAATAAAGTAAATTTTTAATAGAAAAATAATTCTATCTCACAAACAGTGCGGAATTAGAAGTCGGTGCAGAAGAAAAAAGTATTTAGAACAAACCTTTAAGCAAGGTAGCATCGACAATTGATGGCGGCCTGATAGGTGACTTGGCCGGCGACCGCCTGCCTGGCCACCGGTCAAGATGGCGGCGATGGTGATTCGAAGTAAACAGACGGCGAGGTGGCGCCGGCGGGCTCCTGCCTGCCCGCCTATCGACGGCGTCCAGCGGAGTGAAGCTTCTGGAATTTTGTGGCGGCGGCGAGATTTGGAACCAGCGGTGAAGAAGAGCGTCGGCGGGCTGACAGGCGACCGCCTGCCTGTCCGCCTATCGACGGCGACCTGGAATCCGACAGCTTTTGGAAAAATCTTCAGCGGCGTCAGCGGGTTGGCCGGCGGCCGCCGGTCGGTCCTCCTCCTCGATAAATTTGGTACGCCGAGGAGAGGTAAGGGTCGCACTAAAGGGAAGCAAAAAAGAGGAAAATCCCCATTTTCAAGGGGGAAAATGAAAATTTATAACATGATTTTAACACAATCAACTTAAAGTAGTAGAGTTCAATAAAGAGTTCAAGAACTTCGTGAGTAAGTTTTTTTCTCTCTTTTTATTCTAATTTTTATTGAACCTTTTATCAATAAAATATTACTGTGTTGATGATTGATATGTGTTTGAGGATTTTATATGTTATTATGATGATGTTGAATGTTTTGTTTGAAATTATGAATTGGTAATTCTATATGGGTTAGGATTCGGAATTAAGATTTAACCAATTTAATCCTATCTATTTATTAGTAATTGGATTAATTGTTAGAAAATGAATTAATCTTTATTAATTAATAGAATTGTTTTTATTATTGATTAATCCTTGGAAGTTAATCTTTTACTTTGTCTATAGGGTAAAAAGATTAATTAAGGCACACTTTCCGAACACCTAGAAATAGGCAGAGTTGAAATAACCGTTTGGAATGGTTTAAACTAATTAATAATACTAAACATTTTATTAATTAAATAATTGGAAAATAGTTCTTGCCTTATTTATGAGAATTTAGAATTATTTAAGCCGAACATTTTCTAGCACAGTTCTGAGACCTAGAAATAGGAGATGTACTGGAAAGAAAATAATCTTATAATTAATACTGAAACCTAGAAATAAGAGATGTATTAAATATAAGGTTAGCATTTATCTTCTATATTGAGACCTAGAAATAGGAGATATATTAAACATAAATGTTACACATTTCATTAATCCAATTGTTAATTAAAGATGAGTTAAATTATGTTTAGTCCGCATTCCGATCTTAACTCTTGAAGTTATTTAATCATTTATTTTAAGGCACTTATTCCTTATTTATTCACATTTCTTAGACTATAAATTTATCTGTGATAAATAATAAAACTAACTATTCCCTTCGTCACTCCTGGAGAGAACGACCCGAGTCTAACTCGGTTATTTGTTGACTTACCGCTATACGCAGTTCGTCAAATGGCGTCGTTGCCGGGGAGTGACACGGTTTAGTTGGTTTTAATATTGTAATAGGAAAATTTTTAGTCTAATAGATTTATTTCTTATTGTTTGTTTTTTTAATTTCCTTTTTATTTCTTTTTTTATGAATCATTTTAGTAATCATTTTTATAATGCTCAATTTAATGATCACCCTCCATACCCATATTGTGAAAATAGTTTTTCCCGTGATTACAATGAAAATTACCATTATTTTTATGAAAATCCACCTATGATTGAAAATGATTGTCAATTTAATGGTAATAAGTGGAATAATTATGATAATGGTAATTTTGATTGTTCACAAAATTTTCAAGATAATTTTGGTAATGATGAACATTTTGAAAATAAATGGTATACCAATTCTCCTATGAACGATAATTATATTTCTTACGATTATGAGAATCATAGGAGGAATGTTAATAGTTTTAATAATTTTGATCATTTACCAAATTATCAAAATAATTATTGTGATTTTTATGATAATCAAAATTATTGTACTAATCCCCCTAGATTTTTCAATAAAAATAATTATGAGCAGGATGATAATTACAATAACTTTGATTATCAAGAAAATTATTCCTCTCCTTATTCCTCACTATTTCCTATTAATAATTTTGATGCAATGAGTAATGAATTAAAATCGATAAAAAAGGACATGGATTGCATTATAAGAAATTTAATTGGGCAAATAGAATTAAAAAAATACACTAACTTTGATTTTGATGAATTTGTTAAGAAGAAGGGTTTAGTAGATGAAGAAGGTGATCTTTGTTATACGTTTCCTTATAAAGTATTTATTCTTCTTTGGCTTCATGAATACACGGGTCTGCGCCACCTTACGGCGATAATCCAGAAGAAACTCGAGACTCTCGAGGAGAGTGCTCCGTTAGTTTTGTTTATTTTACCAAGTTTAGAATAATGGCGTCAAGCTAATGACGTTAAATTAGCGCTTAACGGGAGGCAACCCGTGATAATAATAATAATAACCACAATAATAATAATAATAATAATAATAATAAATAACAATAACAAATTTAGCTCTAGTTTTTTTACACTATCACACACTGTGCACTTGTTCTTGTTTTGTTGTTTTCTTTTCTTTTGCAGGGAAAACGAATGGAAGCCATCACAATGAGCCTTGCCAGTTTTCGCACCCAAAAAGTTTTATAATGCATAAAATAATTTTCTATTAAAAATAGCTTTTTATTTCTAATCTTGGCCAAATTTTAAACTTTTTATAATCATTAAAATCTTGCCTCTCATCATATACTTCACACTAAGTGTGAGGAAGATTGACATACTTTGATTTTTCTACTCGCATCCTGCATTTAGACCTCGAGGGCGAGGTCCAGCTTAAGTGTGAGGAGGTAGAATATCAGGTATGATTATATTCTAGGAAATTATTTTCTTGATCAATAATCAGTTAATGTATTTAATATTTAATTACTTTACATTTTTCTTTTATTCTCTAATAAATTAAAATATCATTTACTCATTTCTAAATTTAACAATGAATTTTTATTTAAAATTATGCATGAGTTGGGTTTTAGTGAGTGAGTTAAGGTTGTAATTAGATAACGATTATAAGTCTTTTGGTCACTTTCTCTTTAATTGAAATAAATAAATAAAGCTAATTGTGTGGGTTGTGTTTTAGTGACGAATTGAGAATCCTATCTCTGAAAAGGAGCTCTGCTTCTCTTGTGAACCGCATAAGGCGAGGGAGCAAGTATACACATGTAATGGGATAAACCCACAACCCAAGCAGTTATGCTAATTGCCCACGCTCAAGAGTTGAATTGAGTATTCTATCTCCTTTGGAGCTCTGCCATTCTGTTTACAAGAAAACAAAAAAAATCAAATCATAAGCAATAAAAAGGGCATTATGGGATAACTCACGGGCATTAAAAAATAAATAATAAAATAAAATAAGTTACTCAATTGAGATAAGAAGACCAAAAGACTACAAATCATTATTAATTACTGACCTTAAGGGATTTTTGAAGAAAAACTTACTCATTCAAACTTTTAAATAAGTTCATTGTTAAATTTTTGAAAAGAGTGAAGAGATATTTAGTTGTTAGGACATAAAGAAAAGTGTGAAGTAATTAATACTGATGATATTAACGGATTATTGCAAGGAAGTAAGATCTTAGAATGTAATCAAACAATCTTATTCATTTTTGTGTTGGTAGATGATGAGTTGCTTGAAAGCAAGCAACGTTTAAGTGTAAGGAGATTGATAAGTCCGTTTCGTACTTATCTTTTTACTCATATTTAATTCGTTCTTGTATCAATTTCGTTATCAAAACCATAAATTATTTATTCTTTTTCATCAAAAACATATGTTTTGATAAATTGATCATAAAAAGAATGTCTTTGAAGTAATATGTAAAATTGGGCCAAGAATGGAGTAAAAAGAGTAAATTTTTAATAGAAAAAAAATTCTATCTCACAAACGGTGCGGAATTAGAAGTCGGTGCAGAAGGAAAAAGTGTCCAGAACTAAAGTTTAAGCAAGGTAGCATCGACAATTGATGGCGGCCTCACAGACGAACTGGTCGGCGACCGCCTGCCTGGCTGGCAATCAAGATGGCGGCGATGGTGATTCGAAGTAAACAGATGGCGAGGTGGCGCCGGCGGGCTGGCAGGCGACCGCCTGCCTGCCCGCCTATCGACGGCGTCCATCGGAGTGAAGTTTCTAGAATTTTGTGGCGGCGGCGAGATTTCGAACCAGCGGTGAAGAAGAGCGTCGGCGGGCTGGCAGGCGACCGCCTGCCTGCCCGCCTATCGACGGCGACCTGGAATCCGGCAGCTTTTGGAAAAATCTTCAGCGGCGTCAACGGGTTGGCCGGCGGCCGCCGGTCGGTCCTCCTCCTCCTATTTAAACCATGCGGCTCCTCTCCATTCCCAGCGTGATTTCCCTTCGTTTTTTCTCCTTTTAGGGGTAAAAGTTCCCCCTTTTACTTTTAAATATTGTACTAAAATTGTGTTAGTTGAATTTCATCATCTCAAGTTATTTCTCAAGTTCTTGAAGCACTCTAAGTTTTTTTCTCTCTTTTTATTCTAATTTNGGCCGGCGGCCGCCGGTCGGTCCTCCTCCTCCTATTTAAACCATGCGGCTCCTCTCCATTCCCAGCGTGATTTCCCTTCGTTTTTTCTCCTTTTAGGGGTAAAAGTTCCCCCTTTTACTTTTAAATATTGTACTAAAATTGTGTTAGTTGAATTTCATCATCTCAAGTTATTTCTCAAGTTCTTGAAGCACTCTAAGTTTTTTTCTCTCTTTTTATTCTAATTTTTATTGCACTTTTTATCAATAAAATATTACTGTGTTGATGATTGATATGTGTTTGAGGATTTTATATGTTATTATGATGATGTTGAATGTTTTGTTTGAAATTATGAATTGGTAATTCTATATGGGTTAGGATTCGGAATTAAGATTTAACCAATTTAATCCTATCTATTTATTAGTAATTGGATTAATTGTTAGAAAATGAATTAAGCTTTATTAATTAATAGAATTGTTTTTATTATCGATTAATCCTTGGAAATTAATCTTTTACTTTGTCTATGGGGTAAAAAGATTAATTAAGCCACACGTTCCGAACACCTAGAAATAGGCAGAGTTAGAAATAACCGTTTGGAATGGTTTAAACTAATTAATAATACTAAACATTTTATTAATTAAATAATTGGAAAATAGTTCTTGCCATGTCTATGAGAATTTAGAATTATTTAATCCGAACATTTTCTAACACAGTTCTGAGACCTAGAAATAGGAGATGTACTGGAAAGAAAATAATCTTATAATTAATACTGAAACCTAGAAATAAGAGATGTATTAAATATAAGGTTAGCATTTATCTTCTATTTTGAGACCTAGAAATAGGAGATATTTTAAACATAAATGCTACACATTTCATTAATCCAATTGTTAATTAAAGATGAGTTAAATTCTGTTAAGTCCGCGTTCCGATCTTAACTCCTAAAGTTATTTTATCATTTATTTTAAGGCACTTTTTTCTTATTTATTCACGTTTCTTAGACTATAAATTTATCTGTGATAAATAATAAAACTAACTATTCCCTTCGTCACTCCTGGAGAGAACGACCCGAGTCTAACTCGGTTATTTTTTGACTTACCGCTATACGTAGTTCGTCATATATTATGATATGATATTCATAATTAAGTCATATAATACAATTTTTCAACATTACTAAGTAAATATAATTAAGGAATAGATAAAATCGATTTTATTAGAACATACAAGTATTTTCCCAATTTTATATTTTTTCCATTTCATTTATAATTAAACTATCAATGAATAAATGAGATTCCCTTCTCTAAAAAAAGGTACTTTCTTAATCTCTAATGCACACAGTTTGTTGGGAAAATATTATAGATTTTGATGATGATGTATTTAGATTGTAATAGGGACGTTAGGCCTCCCCCAATATTCAATGTAATTTTTCTTTTTAGAAATATTGTTAAAACCGAGTTCTTGAGATTTCCAATAAAGTTGTGATATTTCTTTAAGTGGTTTGATGCTTGAAAACTTAATCAAATTCTGTGATATGGAAATTGGATATCTTGATCGAAAATGTCAGAGACAAGTAAGGATTTCTCAAAGCAAATGAAGATCCTCTAATCCAGAACACTACATGATAATCGGACGTCTCGCTACAACCCGCTGAAGGCTAAGTCATTGAAGTCGGAAGACTAGCGCGGATCTCTTTCTCAGTCTGTGAATGACTCTTCCAGATTTGTCAGCAAAAAAACCGGATGCCTCAAGAAAAGACCGGAACTCTTAAAAGCGGACAAGTGAGAAAAGACTTAGAAAAATTCTAAGTCTTGAATGAAGAAATTCTACCCGTTGGTAACGAAAAATCAATCATTTTATTTTCAACGGCTAGATTGAAGATAATTAAGCTGATTCAAGAACAAATGACTTGAAGACAATGTCTGGACCCCTCAAATTAAACAGCTCGTCCAGAATTCCTAAACAATCACTAGAAGACAAACTGAGTAAAGTGCTACAGTCCAGAATTCTTGAACAACAGCTAGAAGACAAATTCTGTGGAAAAAGGAATCCCTCCTCAAACAATTGGGTATGTCCAAACACCCACTCCAATGAGGAATCCTCAATCACAATCTTTATTCAAAATTGAAGCCAACAAATGCAATGGATAGTCTATTTTGATTCAACGGATAGATTATCCAATCCAGCTATAAATAGCAACCTTGGAAGACTAGAGAAGATATGATGAGATAGATGAACACAACGAAGCAATCACTAACAACAAAGCTATCTCATTCACAGTTAGCCCAAAAAGCTTGATAAAGAGGAATTTCTAAAACTCCTTATCTAGAAGCAAACTTCTTCTCCTTCCAAAGAGCTATAGTGTAAACACTTTAAGGTTTCCTTGCCTCAAGTACCACACCACGTTGAAGGATATAACTTTTGATCAAACTTCTTGATTAAAAGGGGGTAGATCAACTTTCTCACAAGTTGATCTTACAAGTCCGATTGTTCGGATCTTGCAGTTGTTGAATAAGCGTGACCTTTGAAGGAACAACAAAGCCAGCACGAGTGCAGTAGCAACTTTGGCCTTGCGAAGATATACCGTGCAGAAATTCACACAAGTGTAATTGTTGGTTCAATATTCAACAACCAACTACATAGTGGATTTTGAGGACGTAGAAGGATTACCCCACCTTCGAACCTCGTTAAAGTTTGCGTGTCTCTCTCTTTTATCTTTACTTTTACTTGCAATTATATTAACTGTGAAAACTAACCCATCCATATTGATTACTTCACATACTAGCCACGAAATTTCGCACACAATCTAAAGTTCCCAAGAACTCTAGATTTACACTATTTTCACGTTTTCAAAAGAAACGAAAAAGTTTTAAATTTGTAACAAAGTCTATTCACCCCCCCTCTACACTTTATATCTCACCACTTTGGGACCACCAATTGGTATCACAGCACACTTCTCACTATCTACATTTAGATTAACGAGAAGCGATCATAATGGTGAACAATATGGATCACGGTTTGCCCAAGTTTTCTCTTCTAGGTTATGATGATTGGAAGATCATGATGGAAGCACACCTTTACGCCCTACATGATTGCATGTGGATGGTGCTTGAGGATGGACCCTTGAAAATCCAAATGGAGAACCCTGAGAGGAATCCAGCCAATCTTGGTGTTGTTCAGTACATTCCAAAGCCCAAGGAGAAATGGGATGATAGAGATTGCAAGAAGCACAATCTGGACAACGTCGCCAAAGCAGCCATCTTCAAGACACTTGATCTCATCACCTTCTCCAAGATCAAGCATCTCAAGACTGCCATGGAGATTTGACAAGGTCTTGGGAAGCTGTGTGAGGGATCGAAAGACCTGAGAAAGCAGAAGATAGAAGTCCTACTTGAGAAGTTCAAAAGCTTCAAAATGCTTCCCGGAGAATCATTTGATATGTTGGATGAAAGATTCCACAAAATCTTAAATGATCTTGCATCACTTAATCACGTTCTTTCTCCCAAAGAAAAGAATGTAAGGTTACTGAGATCTCTTCCAACTGAGTGGTAAACCAAAGCCACAGCCATGGAAGAAGGAAGAAACCTGGAGAACTACACTGTCCAAGGTCTCCTTGATGAGCTCAGAACCTATGAGCATGCGCTGATGAAGAAGAAGGAAGAACAAGTCACTCTCTTCCCCACGGCATTGATGACAACTCCTAGAGTCCCACCGAGTGAAGGGACATGCCCAAGGAACTGTGACACACCTTCCTCCACCCAGCCGTCAAGCTCAAAAATGGAGAACTATGATGAGGAATTTGCCATGATGATCAAACAATTCCGAAAGTTCAAGAAGTTCTTCAAGAAAGCTGACTCAGTCAGAAGGCCATCCAAAGGAAAGCCACAGGTAAGTGACTCTCCTCCTGAATCGTATTTGTGTTATAACTGCAGGAAACCTGGTCATTGGAAGTCAGCGTGCCCGTACACAAAGGTGGAGAAGTATGGAGAAAGAGAAAGGAACGAAAAGAAGAAGAAAGCAATGGTTGCAGCTGAAAGTGACGAGTCATCCATCTCAAGCTCGGATGAAGAAGCCCTCGTCTGCATGGAGCACAGAGCTGAGAAGTCCAACCATGAGGATCGGTGGACTATGTCAGAAGATGACACCCTTTGCCTTATGGCTAAAGATGACGCTGAACAAGAGGTAACCTCACAAACCTCCTGCTCATCTTCTTATGAAAGCATACCAACTTCTGAAAGTCTTTTTGACAAGTTCAAAAAGATGATGAAAGATTTTGAGGAAATAAATCTCAAACACTCATCCTTAAAAGAGGAGAACAAGCTATTGAGTGAAGAGAATCTCAAGTTGACTGAAGGTCAGAAAAGTCAATTAGATGAGATCACTCAACTAAAGACTGAAAATAAATCTCTCTCTGAAAAGGTTAAAACCCTCAACAAGGAGCTTGGGATACTTAAGTCCAAAGAAGCAGTGGATAAGCTTCTTGAAGCGACCAAACAAAAGGGTCTTGAAGGACTTGGGTTTGACCCCTCCAGTTCCAAGAGAAAAGGGAGAACAACCTTCATCCCTCCTAAACCTACTGCCAAACACAATAAGCAGAAAGGGAAGGAGAAGGAGAAATCCATAGAAGTCCCCAAAAAGGTAGTCCCTCCTAAGAACTATAGGAAGCTGGACAGACCTCAAAGAGGAAATAATTTCAGAAGAAAACTTTTTAACCCCCACTATACACGAGGCTATATTCATTATGGGGTGGATAGGAGTTTTCCAAGAAATCTTGAGTGGAGAACTATACCAAGATATAGTCATCCTCCACCCCAGAAACTATTTGTTCCACCTAAGTATGCTTACAACCGACACAGGCCACACTATACACAACCTAGACAAAACTATAGGTCTTATCAACCTAGGTTTGCCAGGTGGAAACAGGAAAATGCACCACCTACTCGTAGGAAATTTTATGCATACAACTATGATTACAATCCCAACAAGTTTAGGGCTGCAAGGAAAATTCCCTGCAACTTCAAACTTGATGTAGGGACACACACCATTAACTATTCCGGACCCAAACTGAATTGGGTACCAAAATCTTCCTCCTCCTAATGCAGGAAGCCGCTAAGTACCCAGGTGTCTGGTACTTAGACAGTGGCTGTTCAAGACACATGACGGGTGATGCGAGCCTCTTGAGCAATCTAATTCCCTATGATGGTCCAAGAGTTACTTTTGGAGGAAGCAATGATTTTGGCCTTACGAAAGGGCTAGGAAATCTGGTGTACAAAGGACTAATCATCCAAGCTGTATCTTATGTTGAAGGTCTCAATTATAACTTTCTTAGCATAAGTCAGTTTTGTGATAAAGGTTACTCCTTGGAATTCTGCAAAGACATGGCATCCCTTAAAAACATCTCCACAAATGAAGTCATTCTCGCTGGAAGAGAATCAGAAACATCTATGAAGTAATGTGGGATGATGTCAAGGAAGTTTGCCTAATCAGCAAAGGTGACACTAACCTTCTATGGCTTTGGCATAAGAGGTTGAGTCATCTCAACTTCAAAACTCTCAACAAGCTGTCCAAAGAAGGGTTAGTAGAAGGCCTTCCCAATGTTGTATTCAGGAATGAAAAACATTTGTGATGCTTGCCAGAAAGGAAAGCAAGTCAAGTCCACTTTCAAGGCAAAACCGGCACCCTCAACTACAAGGATATTAAGTCTTGTTCACATGCACTTATTTGGCCATGTTACTCCAATAAGTCTAAGTGGAAAGAAATATGTCCTGGTGGTAGTTGATGACTACTCAAGATACACGTGGACAATCTTCCTCAACAGCAAGAAGGAAACTCAAGGAAAGCGCACAAACTGCATGAAGCTGATTCAAAACCAAGCAAGTCAGATCATCCAGAAGATTAAATCTGACAAAGGCACAGAATTCCTGAATGAAATCATCATTCATTACTATGAAGAAAAAGGAATTCTTCATCAGACATCTACAGCAAGGACGCCTCAACAGAATGGTGTATCAGAAAGAAGAAACAGAACCTTGAAGGAAGCAGTAAGAACCAAGCTAGCAGAAGCTTTCTTGCCAAAGAGGTTCTAGGCTGAAGCTGTTAACACAGCTTGCTATACTCAAAATAGGAGTATGATTTATAAAAGGCACAAAAAAACTCCCTATGAATTGTGGAACGGGAGAAAGCCCAATATATCATATTTCCATATTTTTGGGAGCAAGTGTTTTGTGTTAAACAACGGGAAGAATCATCTGAACACTTTTGATGAGAAAGGTGAGGGTGAAGACTCCAAGTGCCAAGTGAAAGAAGCTAGAAGAATGAAAAACAACAGTCCCTACTGCAACTCCTTGCAGCAGCTGCATATGCATTTGGTATGTTTTTACCGTTCATCACCCACTTGGAATATCAGGTTTTTTATACCTTGGAATCCGAACAAAATGCAAAAAAGAATTTACATGTTTTACGGTCCTATAATGTGTTCTACTTTAAATTTTTTGCACCAATTTTTTTCCTTATGTGGAAGGGAACAATGATGGTGAATGGAGCACTTGATGGTGCTCGCAATGGAGTCATGTCGAGAAAGTGTTCATTTGAAGTAGAAGCAATGATTGAGTCAATAAGAGCAATTTACAGGTCTTACTCTTCCTCCATTTTTTATATTTTATTTAGTTTTATATTTCTAACTTTTTTCACTATTTTTATTTTGAAGCATCTGAAAACCACCTCCAAACTTCACATGAAGCAAATCAGTAAATTTTCAACTCGAGCTTTTGCAAATTAAAGGAGATGGTTTGAAGATCAAGATCAGGTATCAGGTCAGTGTTTTTTATTTCATTTCTTAAATTTTGATTTTTTTGTAACATTTTCTAAAAAAAATTATTTTTTGAAAATTAAATAAATGAAATATTTTAATTTGAGAAAGATGGCATGTATTTTATTTTATTTATTTGTATACCACAAAAGAATTTGCCTACTATTTGTGATAAAATACCATAAAACTTCTATTTATACGTGATGCTATATTTGTACATATGTATCTATCCTTTGATACAAAGATTCATCAATCAACATTATCATTTTTCACATTTTAATGTAAACAGAATTATGTACCGTGCAACACACATGTAATGCAAAAACTTATTTATGCAATATGTGGTTATTTTGACAAATTGATAAAGATTAATAATTTTAAATTGCAAAGAAGAAAAAAATGTCTCATATAATACCGTTAATGTTGTATATAATTTAATATTATAGTGTTTTTACAGTGCATCGCACGGGTTGAAATCTAGTCCATACAATGGTGAGAGGCATAAATGAACAGTACTCCCGCCCAAATTTTTGGGCCGGGTCATTATTTATTGGGCTGGCTTTAAAATGTGGGCTATGAAAAGCCTATTAGTGCAGCTGTCCCTATATGCCGAGTAAAAAGGAAAACAATTCAAGCGTATTCCGTAAGCTTCTCCAAAATCGAGATCTACGCCGGCTTCAATTCTATCAAGAAGAGAAGGGCAAAGCGACTAGGTTTTGACCCTTCTTCCGCCATGGACAACAGGGATTCAAACAGAACAAGGTGGGAGACGACAACGCCGGCTAACCTTCTACCCTAGGCTGGCTGGAGGGGCTTTGCACATCACCAGCATACCGAACGCAGGGAGCAACAACCTTAATGCGGTGTTCTCGAGAGTGCACCACTTCCGATCCTCTACAGCCGCGTTCTCAACTGGTGCAACAGAGATTGATTTTTCTTCCGATCCTCTTCGCTCACTAAGCCTAGGCCAGATTCGTAGTGCCAGAAGAGAGACGACAGTGATAAAGGGGTAAGGATGCAGCGAGGACGGATGGCAGATGCAGGCTAGGGTTTCAACCATTAAATTCAGAGAACAACTCCTCGACTTGATGCATCACAGGGCAGGGATTCAGGGACGAGGGTAACGCACTTTTCTTTTTTTATTGAAATTTCTTTATATATATGACCGAATCTTTCATTTTTTCATCTTTTCTTCGATGGAGTGATAATGTCTCTGTCTTTGGATTCTTGCTATAGGTCAACAACATCACAATTCAACAATGACACCACCATTTTAAAGTGGTATTTTTCTTCTCTCGAATTCATTTTTAACTTTGGAGTTCTCAAACAACCAATAAATTAGAAGTCGTTTTTCCAAATTTAGTTTCACTGCATTGTGATATTTGAATATGCTCTGCATGTATACATGAACTTATAATCTTCAATTGAAGTTTAGATTTTAGGTGCAGATATATCTATTTTTCATCATATACATGTGATTTTTAAATATTACAACACATATGTCTTAAAGTTGTTATACATATTTAGTTTTAAGTCCGTATAATCAGTTAAATGTCTTTCAGTTCTCTCAATACGAAAGGTGAGGGTGAAGCCTCCAAGTGCCAAGTGAAGGAAGCTAGAAGAATGAAAAACAACAGTCCCTACTGCAACTCCTCGCATCAACTGCATATGCATTTGGTATGTTTTTACCGTTCATCACCCACTTGGAATATCAGGTTTGCAAAAAAGAATTTACATGTTTTACGGTCCTATAATGTGTTCTACTCTTTGATTTTGTTGGTTGTTTGTATATATTTTTATAAGTTTCATGAAGCCAATTTTTTTAGTCTATTTATTATTTTTCTTTTATTATATTAATTAAGTGTCAATGGATTTGGAGTTTGAGCATTTTCTTATTAGTTCAGATTTTGCTTTAATATGCATGTTTAATTAAGCATTGATTTTTTACTATTATTTTGAGCCTCCAACCAAAAGAGTAACCTTTTACTATTATTTAGGTTTCAAAAAATTTGGCTTCACATTGCTCGAGGTAGAAACAAAAATCAGATCTTCCGCAATGGAGTTATCTTATGTAGGGAGTATATTAAATACATGTTCATGCATAGTTTTGCATTTTTCTTATCATTAATGTAGCTTATGATAGATGGTCATCTTGGCAACATTGTTGTGCTGGTATTAGATTGATAAACTTGGAATCACGAGCAATTTACATTTCTCGATCAGAGGCTGCTTTACGACCCTTTTATTTACTTTTAGGGTTTCGATACTAACATAACCGACTACTAGAATGACGAGCGACGACCTTCAATCTCTCTTCCACATTTGACTGCCCTAGAAAAGGTCTATTTTTGTTCTTCTTCCTTGGTCTTTGCGTCTCGACTTTCTCAGTTTGCGGCTTCAAGATAGCCAGGTTCCAAAATAGATGGCTTCCTCCCCAATTTTCATCGACAGATTAGAGATCCTGTTTCTATAATTTACTTGCAAATTGTGATAAAATAGATGAAGTCCCAATAATTTTTAGATTCTACTTTAAATTTTTTGCATCAATTTTTTTCCTTATGTGGAAGGGAACAATGATGGTGAATGGAGCACTTGATGCATCACAGGGCAGGGATTCAGGGACGAGGGTAACGCCCTTTTCTTTTTTTATTGAAATTTCTTTATATATATGACCGAATCTTTCATTTTTTCATCTTTTCTTCGATGGAGTGATAATGTCTCTGTCTTTGGATTCTTGCTATAGGTCAACAACATCACAATTCAACAATGACACCACCATTTTAAAGTGGTATTTTTCTTCTCTCGAATTCATTTTTAACTTTGGAGTTCTCAAACAACCAATAAATTAGAAGTCATTTTTCCAAATTTAGTTTCACTGCATTGTGATATTTGAATATGCTCT